ACAATTATTTATATGATAAGTAATAAATCATAAAATCCCAATGTTTTTAATTTGATATGCTTGGAATGGTCTAATAATTATAATCACTTAAAATATATATATATCCGTTATTTTTAATCTTATGGATAAATATCCAAGACAAAGTTACGCTACTTCAAAAGGGTTACACACATCCGACTGAAGGAACTTTTATTCGAGGTCACTCTTTATAAGATTTCAAGGTTATTGGTAGTTTTTTTTTTTTTTTTAATGGAACCCTACGATATATCTATTTTTACATTGCATGAATTAATTCCTCGTGCTATTCTGAATAAATAAATATTAAAGTCGAACAATGATCGGGTCGCAAAGTATTTTTTACAAAATATTTGCCATATTAATAATTAGCCATATTCTTTTCGAATTTAAGTCAAAAAAGAAAAGAATATTCATTTTTTCTTGCTAGAGGTGAAGTACGTATTAACAATTACGTTTTTTTTTGGTTGGATAATACTTGTGAACATATACTATATTTGTCGTGAAAAAAGAGACTATTTAAAAAATATATATATTTATTTAAAAACGTGTGAATATGTATATTTATGTGATTTTATTATCAATAATTTTTTTTCTTATTAATAATAAAAAGATACCAGGAGTAACCGTATAACGTATTACACTTGATAAATACATATTACCAATGTTTTAATATGCATTAAAAAGTCCAACAGTGATACTTTTCAGTTTTGCATTATACATTTATACGTATACGAGTATTTATTCGCAATGTTTGCTATATCTACTGTTCAAGGTCTCTTATTGAGTTATTAGACTTAAACGAAAATTTCAACACTCATTCTCCTAAAACGTGTTATACAATAAATTACTTCCTGTATTATACCTTTTTAATTACAACTAAAGTTAACAATTTAATAACTACGATTATTCGATCTTACAATTAAATAATAAAATGAATGAAGGAATGAATAAACGAATAAATGAACATATGAACATATGAAAGAATGTATAAATGAATAAATGAACGAATGAACTAACATTTAAAATGAAGATCGTGCCAAATATTTGACCTCGTTTTATTTTTTGCTATAAGTGAGTATAGTATATACACATATAATCTCCGTATAATTTATAATTCCTGTAATTTACATGTGAAATAATATGTAAATTTTGTAGAATAGAAAAAACAAAAGAATAAAAAGCAAAAAGAAGGAAGGAAAAAACCAGTAAGATAATGTCGATCGGATTATTTATGATAGTTGGATCGGTATACAATTCTTTAGTAAACATGCTTTATGGATATTTCAAAGATTGCGCTTTTTATCGATCGATTCTCGAATTGTTTTTTCTTTTTGACTTTGTTTTTATACATAAAAAATTAAATTAAATTAATATATATATATATACACACATATTAAAAATATAAATTAAAATATTAATTAAATATAAAATTATAAGTGATTAATATTCGAGAAAAAAAAATTAAAATACATAATTTATTTAATATAAAAAAAAAATATATATATATACAATATAATATTAAATAATATCTCAACAAAAATAAATATATAAATACATCCGTGCGCGAATAATTTATACGAGTAATTATAAATAAATTAGCAAATTTTATATCAATTTAAGAAAAGAAAAAAAGAATTTAGCACCCCAATAATGATACGAACGTTTCTCTTTAAAATACGGCCAAATCTCTTTCTCTCTCTCTTTTTTTCTATCTCTCTCTCGCGCTCTTGACTTTGTTTTAAAATTATGTCGAGCAGTACTACGCATGCGCCTACATTTTTCAATTATTGTTTTTTCTATCTCTTTCGAAGAAATATAATTCTGAAAATGTAATACGACAGAATTATCCGAATGCTTGTGCATAGAGATAAAAGAAAACAAGAGTATAGAATAGAATAAGTCTATCGATTCCATGTTTGTTGTTTTTTTTTTTCTTATCAACTCGAAACATTCTCTGAGAATTTTTCAGTCCCGTTGAAACGATTATTCTTAATTAATATTATTAGATACAATTTATATCAAGATATTTCTATTAAAAGTTACGATTTAGTGATGTACCATTTGTTTAATTGTTAAAAAATAAACGAAAGTATAACACTTTGACGTTCTAATGCGGTTAACCTCAAAGTCTCGATTTCCCGCCGTTGGTTCCACTATTGTTAGGTATTCATAGTTAATCTTATTTCTTTCATACAATTTATTTTACGTATAAGTGATTTTCGAATGTTACTGAATATAAATATATATTAATATTTATACCTTACTGTGTTTTGTGTGTGTGTGTGTCATCTATGTTTCATATACAGGGTGTTCTGTAATTAATGATGCAAATGATTCTATATGAAAAGTTTGGTCTTATATGAACAAATTTGATTCTACATTTTCGACTTAGTTTTTCACATAGAATCATTACCTGCTTGCTTGTACCATCAATTACAAAATATCCTTTATATTTTTGTTAAATGATTAATATTATAGAGAGTATGATATTTAACATTATTCATTTGTACTTTCAGTGAATGAACAAGAGAAGATGCCTGACCGCCGTCAGCCTAAGACCCTAGAGGGTCTTAGTTTGCGGCAAATATGTCAACATCTCGACGGGTTGTGCCGCCGACTGCAAATGCATTCTACAAAGACTTCATCAGCACAGATGCTCGTTTACGCAAAACAAGTTATCAGACCATATTATATCAATGCCTTACCCGCAAGCCTGCGCACTCAAGTTATTGAAGAAACTTCGAAAATGCTCTACGGTCCTTCATTGGATGGTTCATCTTTAATTTCTGGTCCTGCTCCTCTGTATTTATTAGCATTACTTCTTAGTCATGATATCAAACAGTTAAAGGTGAATCTTTGTTGTTACTATGGATGTAGTCATCAAACGTCACTCTTAAAGTTATTAGCATCCGAAGGGATTGGACTAGATTCTTTAGAACTGGCTCGCTCTGCCTTACTCAGATTAGATTGCAAGTTGTTAAGGTCCGCTCTATTGAACATGAAAAATCTCTTAAGTTTGACTCTTCGCAATATAGCTAACGATACAGTACTTCATGTAATTGGGAAAACATGCCCTAAGTTGGTACACTTAGATGTAGCATGTTCGAAACAAGTGACAGATGCAGGATTGAAACAACTGTTACTAGAAGTCGAATTAAAAGACAAAACAATGATTACGCAAGAGCCACTTAACAGTTGGTCCAAACTGAAAACCTTGATGACCAGACTAAAATCGAAGCCTTGTACCAGATCCAGAAAGAAAGACAAGGAAAATGTTTTATTGGAATATTATGAAAATCGTAATTCTATTTGTGATAACCTGAAAATTCTTAATATTGCTAATACTGCCGTTACATGCTCGGGCGTACTTTTTGCGTTAGTATACATATCTCATCTGGAATCGTTAGCAGAGTACAATCACATGGGAAGAGTGGTAGAAATGATGAAAAAAAGACTTATTGAATTCGAAGCTCCACTTGCTTTAACGCAAGCAAGAAGCTGTAGAACTACGATTACTCGTCTAGAACTTCTTGCTCGGACATGCCCAAAAATTGAAACATTACATATTTTTGAACCTCATCATCCAGCAGAAGCGTTAAGATTATTTCCCTGTATCACTTCTTTGAGCATACATAGTATTCCTATTGAAAGTGAATGGCTAAATGGTCTCTATGAATATTTACACACTAATGGTTCAAATTTGAAAGAACTTAATCTTCATGTTGTTCAAAGTGACAATCTATTGACAATAGATTTGAGAAAAATTTTCAGCGGTTGCCCTAATCTCAGAAAACTAATGAAGGATGGCTCCGAAGTTATATGGTCGACAGGACCAGATCCACCACCTCTCCAATATTTGAAAAAAGTTCGATTGGGACATAAAGTATCTGCCGTGTCTGTAACTAAAATTCTCTCCTTGGCGCCAGAATTAACAGCCCTTCATATTCACAGTTGTTCTGATCTAACCAACGAACACTTAGACAAATTATTGACTACGCCCTCATGGCCCCAAAAGTATAAAGAAATCAACAGAAGAGAAAATAGTTTAGTGCAGAATTTATCATGTTTTTATATATACGAAGCCAGCAGTGTAACAGCGACAACTGTGTTAAATATGTTTTATAATTGCAAACGCTTAAGAAGAATCGGTAATTTGAGTAATTGGGGATTGAATTGTGAAGGTATAAATATGTTAAGAAAGACGCTGGCACATGCCAATTTAGATGTGGATTTGTGTCCTGGTTCTCATTGGTTTTGGAGCAATTGTATTCAGTAGCTCGTGCACATTAAGACTGATTATTCAACTGTTTTGAGGCAGCCTTTTCAAGTATCTTTAAGACCATGACATTATTAATTAGCTGTTTTATCAAAATCTCTATATATCTAATATTTTTCAAAGACTCTTCATTTATCAGTATTAAAAAGTCAATACGTATTTACTATGACGAGTTTTGAAATATAAAACGAAAAAGAAGAAAAATATAATATAAAGTTGCCATTTTCGAATTAAATTTAAATTTAATATAAACACAAAACAGTATATATATATATTTTTTTTATGAAAATTCAAATGTTAATGAATAATATTAATTGTTCGAAAATTATATATATTATATTATATTATATCATACAATAATGTAAAATTAAAGTATTCAAACAAAATATAATACTAATAGGGTAAGCGACTTAATAATTTTAATGAAAAGTTCAAAATGAAAATACTGTCCTTATTAAACTTTGTTATTAAAATATAACAAGAATATAACGGCAGGAATTAAATTTAATATACACGCATTAGTTTATGTTATTGATAAGAGGAATACTTTTTTTGAGAAATAAATCAAATGACAAGGGAAATAAAAAATTATATTTCCTATCTTGTTTCGAGTAAACAATAATAAGACAAATAAAATTGTTATTCATGAACATATATACATATATGTATATATACACGTTCGAGTCCAATTATAATAGTTGAAGAAAATTTTAATAATCTTATAAATTTTTTAAACAATCCTTCCAATAATTAAGCTTTATGATTAACCCTTTCGTTACGGCTTTGTGTTCAATATAAATTCGTTAGTACATGCGTATTATCGCATAATACGACTTCTATATATGTCGTTAGTAAAGAAAAGGTTAAGATTTTTCCTACTTTCATAAGATACAAAATTTTAGTTAGAATTCAATTAAAATGTATTACATTGCTCGTATATAATATTTAATTTAATTTTTTGTTTTTGTAAATATATCTAACTTACCTCCGATAGGCCATGGGATTGCAGTATGAGATTGATAAGTTTGGTGTCCGTTTGAAAAATTTTGTATGTCATATGTAACTGTTTAGCCGGTGGATCTTCCGGAGGCGTTGACAAAGCGCAACACCTAAAATAACAAAAGGAATAATAAAAATAATGCGTAAACATAATAATAAATTTTCATTTAAAGTATACTTACTTAAAACGTAAAGTAGGCGTCCTGTTTCCAACCGGATGATTCAACAGCCATTCGTTGTTTACTGGACTTTGGTCTTTCGTTGTGCTATAATTCACCAATTAAAAAAAAACAGAAAAATATTAAAATAATAATAATAATAATAATAACAGCACAAGAGAGGAAAAGAGTTTGTTTCAATTTTTACCGCGCATTAAAAAATCCGATGGTAACGTAGATCGAATAGTTTCAGCAAGACGTTAACAGATGGCGTTACTCTTCGATATATATCGAAAGTCGATAAGGAAGGTAATGTTTTCGCGGAAATATTTTTGAAAAGTATTTAGAAAGTCGATTAAAAAGAAGGAAAAGAAAAGAAGTATAATACTTGCAATTAAAAAAAAAGGAATCACGCTAATCGAACTTTCACTTTGTATTCTGTTCGTTTGTTCACTAGCTCGAACGTCAGGATTAACATTATCGCGATAATTGCTTACATCAAATAATTACGTTCACTTCTTTCTAATTATTCGCGAAACGTTTTACTTCGATAATTAGAGAAAACTTGTGCATTCCGGAATTAGATGCACTCGTGCATACTGCGTATTAGATTAACTTAATCAAATAAATTTCAACAGTAATTAACTCTTCACTTGTATAAAGATACACGAAAAAGAAAAAGAAAAAGGAAGAGAATTTCTTAAAAACCGAATCGCTAATTGCAGTAGTCACGTAGAGAAATAATCGAAGTGCATACAAATCGGCTGAAACGTAACACCATTTTAAATAGTTTTCCAATACTCACCGTTTATCGGTATTAGAGTTGTGTGGTTTATGCACGAAAGGTTCGAGAGCTTCCTCGCTACTATTGGATAATTGTGACATGCCAGAAAGACTGGAGGATGACATTGACTCTTTCGGTCGTTTTCCTTCCAACTTTCTTATCGTAGTGCCTTTCCTTTGGGACAACATGATCGATCCTACAAATCATACAGAAGAATAATATTCAGATCAAATGTTCTATAAATAACCAAAGGGCTATAATAAAATAAAATGCCTTTATAACACGAATATAAACACGTATATAAAAGTTTCTATTTTATATTCTTTATCTTCTATATCCTAATAACAAAATTACAAATCAAACGTTGTTTTAAATCGAAAAATCTTTCGAACGAGAGACATCGTAGACTAGTACCTACCCTATGTATTCTTTTTCGATGCTTGTTCTACATTTCGCAAATTATTACCATGAACATAACTGATATCGATCGGGATACGTCAATGATCTTGTAATATGGATTAAGTTAAGGAAAATGATGTCAGGCTGTTTTCTTCTTAAGTAGTATTAAAACTTATCACACAATACCACCCCAAGTCCTTCGAGATATACACCTGCAAGGTTTCACCTTAGTCGTCATTTCTCACAGATGTTAAAGAAGACGGGACATAAAATTTTGACCTTTTAAACTACTACTGCTTTTATCCCTAAAATAGAACAAAATTAAGATTGACAAAATCTTGTCATAGTTTCCTTGAATTCCTTGAAAAATAAATTTATTTATTGAGGCTTTCCCATTCATGTTAGGCTATTCATTATAACCGAGGATCCAAATTATGCACGAAGCAAAGTTCGTAAGGCCACGAGTAAGGGTTGTATAGTCTACCCTTGAATCACAAGACGTTATTTTAGTACCTAAGTGAGTTTTGTTCTATGCTTGAAACATAAGTGTACAGTAGTACTCGAACTTATTATTCCAAGCATATGTGCATTTATAAACACATATATATATATTTAAAAATGAATGTATATTACCAGCAAAAAGTTAGAAATAGTTTACTGATTTCCATAAAAATCCAAAACACCGATTAATTTAGAAATGATGTATCGTTGTTACATCAAATATTAATAAACTGAATAATGTTATAACAGATTCACAAAACGGCTTTATATAACGGCAAATTTAACTTGAAGAGAACAAATGTGCAGATAAGAGAGTTAAAAATGAAATCAGAATGAAAGAAGTTAGAATGAAATAATAATTATCGTATTTTCGAGGATTACATTTGAAATGCCACAGCGTCGTTGCTTCGGGTTTCCTTCTTTTTTTTTTGTTTAAAGTCTAACACGAAAACGTGTCACGAAAGGTCGTACATATGCCAAATCTAACTTTCTGCACTTAGGTTGTTAATATTACTGTGGAGAATAGAAAAGAAAGGAATGGAGAACACGAGGAAAATGACAAGACATTCGTAAAAGAAAAAAGAAAAATAGGTTCAGGAATAACTGAAACGATTAATTCTGTTTTTTTTCTTCTTTTAACATTTCACGAATCATCGATCATTCGTACAAATGAGTTTGGCGATACTCTCTCCACTTCTTTTTTTAACACAAAAATCTGCATATTACATTAGAGTACCCTCGGTCATCACGCAGAATGTAAAAAACAGGTACTAGGAAGTGGACTGTGCGTGAGTCACTGAAGTAATTATGCGATTGTAATGCATCGTTTGCATAAGAAGGAAAAGGGAGAAAGCCATTTAATATATTTGATAAACCACGAACTTTATGTATCTGTAATATATATATATATATACACATTATAACAAAACATTAACACTCGACTCTCTTGTAACACGGTTAATTCATTTCATGTTGTATGCAAGTGAAACAAAAATTGTAAATCAAAATTAGATGTATGAAATAGTAATTATGAAGATTATCAGATTTTATTAACACATTACTATAATACAGCTAATATTATGAATACTGTGTAGTTAATATTTTACATTATATAATAAATTAATAAATAAACAATATTTTAATTATAATAAGCGTGGGGGCGTATTGTAAGTTCATAAGGTAAATAAAAAAGAAAGAAATTTTTTTAAATTAAAACTCGTTACATTTGAAAGATAAATTCATAAGTTTTTATTTTAGATAGGTAAACAAAACATGACCTACTTTGCTTAATGAAAAGTCCATTCTTTCCTGTATTTTTTTTTCTTTTATAAAAATTTCAAATTAATTACACAAAAAGATTGGATTTTGAGCTTAATAAATATCATTATATGTCATACGATCTTTATAATTTAATTGTTGGTTCGTGTCTATAAAGAAAATGATATAATATGATATTTGTAGTATATATTATAGAAAATAATAATAATAAGATTTAAAAGATATATACACACATATATGAGTGTGCTAGTTTCACGTTGCATGTCAATCATATACAAGATTAAATAAATTAATAATCTTTAACCCTCAATCATTCCAAACGTAAAACTATATAAAAATAAAAAATAAAAATTCTATTACTTCCGAAACGAATAAAAATCATTATTCGCGTGTCATTACGTGTGTCACATTTAAAATATTTTATATTAATATTCAATAATATATATATACAAACATATATCGAAAATAAATTAGAATTACAACCCCACAATTTGAATCTACAAATGAAAACTAACAAATATTTATTTCACAATTTCGCAATGCACACATCATATTTATTAAACTATTTAAAAAAAAACCTACACACACTCGAGTGTTACTACTTCGTGAGATAGTAAAAAAAAAAAAAACAAACCCAGAAAAAAAAAGAAACAACAGGGGGGAACAAAGTCGCGTGTTTCGATTTAATCGTTAGATTAACAAAATTTCATACGAATGCCGATCGCATGAACACGCCTATAATATATTATAGTAATCACCTCGTACATTTTCCCAAACAAACCATGGGGTCTTTTGCACGATATTATACCTTAAAAGTACTCAGACACGCGACCTAAACTGCAAAGGTGGTGGTCTCTTTGGTAATGGAAATTACTTGAATAGAATTTGTAAAATGATTTCGATTCATATTGGGTTATAGAAGAAGGGGGGGGCTGGGGGGAGTGATACGAGAAATACAGGTGTTTGCGTCAGAGGTTTTGTTTTAAGGTGACGAATATGACGAAGACGTGGACGAGAAGGAAAAAGAGGATAATCCGCAATGCCTAACGACTTTGGCACGTTTCCCACCATTTTTCTCATCTTCGTTTGATCACGACCTTGTCCATCCACCTTCTTGTCTTTCCATTTCGTTGAACACGTCAATGCGCTTCCTTTCATTGGCCCATATCGTAATACCGATAACAAAATAAAATTTGTTTTTTATCGTTCATCTATTTTATTCTTCATTTAACGTTAATTCGTAATCCTGTGTGCGTAATATTTTCACGTTTCTTATATTTCTACGGACTATTTTATACTTTTGTTTCGTAATTCATTTTGTTATTATTGTACAAAAATAGGTTGACAAGTTTTGATATTACATCATTTTATTATTATTATTTTTTTTTTTATTTAATAAAAATTTGTTTCCATATGTTAATAGGTTCGAAACTTTTCAACCCATATCCCATGTATTTAGATTTCAAATTACAAAATTGTAAATAATACAAAATTAGGAACGTAAATATTTGACATAATTCACAAATATGAAATTTTGAAAGACTTTAAATTTACGATCGTACGGTAATCATTTAAAACGGAAAC